CTCTCTCTCTGTCTCTCTCTCTGTGTCTCTCTCTCTGTCTCTTTCTCTCTTTCTGTCTCACACACACACACACACACACACACACACACACACACACACACACTTCTACCCACCTGCATATAGTACATATTTAAGGTGTCATCTGGAACATTGACAACATCCAGACTTGAACCCAGGTCTTCCTGAATCCAGGTACAGCACTCTAGACATCATACCACACTGTCAGATGCAGATAGACAATCCTCTGCAACTCCAGAACCATAGAAAGTTGCCCAGAGTGCTGAGAGGCTAAGTGACCCACCCAGAGTCACACAGCCAGTACCTACAGTTAGCAGTATTGGCATGGCACTTTAAAATTTAATTATTTACAAATACGATATCATTCTATCTTCACAACAACACTGAGAGGTAGGCACTCTTATGACCCCCATTTTACAGATGAGGAACCTGAAGCAGGAAGAGGTTAAGTGACTTGCCCACTTACACAGCTAAGTAAGTGTCTGAGCCTGGATTTGAACTCAGATCTTCCTGACTCCAGGACCAATTCTCAATCCACTATTCCATGTTACTTCTACAGGACTGCAAATAATTAACTCAATTCTTCTGAGCCTCTTCAGTTTCCTTATCTGTAAAATGAGATGTCTCTTTAAGACTCCAAGTTGAAGAGTAGGTGCTCATCTACTCGATGAAGGGAATTTCCTCACTGGGAGCTCCTTCCTCCAGTGAAATCACAGGTCCAGTTGTTGTTAGGTTGTTTCAGACTCTTCATGACCCCATTTGGGGTTTTCTTGGCAAAGATCTTGAAGTGGTTTGGGATTTCCTTCTCCAGCTCATTTTGCAAATGGGAAAACTGAGGCAAACAGGGTGAAGTGAAGCTAGCAAGTGTCTCAGGCTAGATTTGAACTCAGGTCTTCCAGATTCCGGGCCCGGTGCTCCATCCACTGTACTACCTAGGTGCCCCACAAGTCCAGTTCAAAATTCAAAATGGGGATTATGACCCTTTCCTTATGGTATCCTAGCAATCATCTGGTACAACCCTCTCCTTCCACAGGATGCTGAAACTAAGGAAACTGAGTTTAAGGGAAAGAGTCATCTAAGGTCACCCATGTAGAGAAGTCATAGTGGATGGACAACTGGACCGAGTCAGGGAGACCAGAGTTCAATTCTTGACACAAACACTTACTAGCCGTGTAACCTTGAGCCAGTCACTTCACCTCTTCCTGCCTCAGTTTCCTCATCTGTAAAAGAGACATGAGAGCACCTTATTACTAGAATAAAATATGAATAGTAAATAAATAAAATAGCGATAACAAGAGTATCTTCTGGTATTTTCGTGAAGATCAAATGAGATCACATTTAGGAAGCTGTTTTTAAACCTTAAAGCACTATGGAAATGTTAGCTATTATTATAGTTGTGGAAACTGAGGCTAAGAGAGAGGAAATAACTTGGCCAAGGTCACACAGTCACAGGAGCACAGTCTTGGAGCTGGAAGGGACTTGAGAGAAATCACCTCACAACTCAACCCCTTCCTTTTATAGATGAAAAAACCTGAGGCTCAGAGAGAGAAAGGGACTTATTCCAATGTACAACAGAAGAGGAAACTGAGGCACAGAGGGGTTGAATGACTTCCCTGAGGTCATGGAGTTATTGGCAGAGCTAGGACACCAGCCCAGTTCTCTTCCCATGATGTTGAAGTTTTCCTCTCTCACTCTCTGTCCCCAGATCCCCAGGAACTCACTCCATAATGCACCATACTCACCATGGTCCCCATGGTGCCTGTCACTAATCAACCATCACTTGCAACTACTCATTTGTAATTCTCCGAACCAAGCTCAACGGAAGCTTCATTCTGGTGGCCAGCGCCAATGGCCTGACCACTCAGCAGCCTACATTTTTTAGTGCTACAAAACACATCATTTCAGCTTTATGATTCCCAGTTCCAAAATGTCCATAAATGTGATTCCAGCCACATCATCTCCTTTTAGATTTAATGAAAAGCAAGGGAAGAAAAGCCATATTTAGTTATTTTTTTCTTTCCTCCCCCCAGTATCCAAAAAGGGCAGCTTTTCGCTCTGTCAGCTTCACTCTTGTCCCTAGGGAAACATTTTACAAGTTTCAATCCAAGTGGAAGCTCTTTGTTTCATTATGGAGAGACGTTATCCACAGAATGGTTCTCATTTACCCAGTTATTGTTGCTGGAGAAGCAGACAGAAGAGGGTGTGTAGATGAACCCCAGGAGCAGGCCAGGATGGCTCAGCAGCTGCCAGCTGGAGGCTCTGCTGGTCCCCCAACCCTGCCTGTGACAAGGGTTTCATTCAGTTTCAGAAGCCGAGACCTTTGCCTCTTTTTGCCAAAAGGAATTTGGCTCCTTTGTTTACAGACCCCAGAAGACCCTTAAAACTTTTAGATTCCTTGTAGACTCACTTTATTTCTCTTTGAAAGCTTATTCAAATGCACCTTAACCCCTAGCTCTAAAAAGAAGTTTGTCTACTGGTCCCAGAAAACCCTTAAAACTTTTAGGTTCCTTATCTACTTTCTCTGTCTCCCTTTGAAAGCAAACGTCTACCTTTCAGCTCCCTTCATTATCTATTCTCATTGTTTATTACCTTCCAAATGGACCCAACCAACCCCCCTTCCTCTGGCCACCCAAAGTTACTTTAGTGTACTTAAGATCCACCTTAGCCCCCATTCTGATGCTGGGAATTTCTCATGCCCAAAGGCTGAGACTCTCATGCCCGCTGATCCTTACGGGCATCACCTGGCTTAAGATCCACCTGGCCTCCCCATTTAGAAGCTGAGAATCTCTCAAGCCCAGAGACTGAGGTTTTCTCATGCCCACTTGTCCTTACGGGTGTCACCTTAGCCCCCAGCTCCCATTCAGAAGCTGAGAACCTCTCATGCCCGGTAGTCCTCACGGGTGTCACCTGGCCTATATGTGATTTATCTTTAATAAACTACTTCTCTGGCTGGAAGAAGATTTGGGTTGAATTTATTCAGGCAGACCCATGTCATGATCTTGGGGTTCAGCACCCCAAAACCTCTACACCTCTTCACCTGGACCTCCCTCCATCCCTCCCTTTGCATATTCCCACAATACTCACCTTGTAGACTGCTGCAAGACCTGACTTGCATTCAAGGCTGAGAGGTTGGGCTTGGCTTTCTGGATCCACCCGCTGAGGTCATAGCGCACGGGGTCTCGGCCCAGCTGGTGGGAGATCTCAAACTGCAGGCCATGCTCACACTTGCGAAAGGCAGGTGGTTCTGAAACAGGGAGACAGCCATGACCAGTAGGAGAAAACATGTCCAGGGCTCGCAAGGTTGCCGAGTACTTTACATACAGCATCTCATTGGAGCTTGTGAAATCATTACTAAAGGTATGATAATACCCATTTCACAGACATGGCAGCTGAGGTTGGGAGAGACCAGATAACTGCCCCAGGTACATCAATGTCAATGTTGGAGACAGGATTTGTTCCCAGCCTTCTGGACTCCAAGGCTAGCACTGTCTATCGCCAAATCACTCTCACAGAGAACTGAATTTCCTGGATAACTGATCACCTCTTCCTCTGCCAAAACTTCTTAAATTTTAACCATTTTATGAAAATCTTTCTAAAATAGTTCACACTTCTAGAACACTTGAAAGCATTTAATCTAATCCCTCATTTTATATGGGAGGAAATTGAGACCCGTGGAAGTTAAATGATTTGCATCAGGTCTCACAGGCAGGATATGAGCCCCAGGTCCTCTAACCTGTTCCTACCATACATCTCCTTTCTTTCTTAAACTGGCCTCTGTAGAGAACACCAGATACTCTGGTGTGGGGCCTACCTTCAGGGAGGATAAAGTCTACAAAGAACTAGACCAGAAACAAAGGAACTGATGGATGAATGGACAAATGAATGAATGAATGAATGGAAAATTATTGAGTGCATTATGTGCCAAGCATTGTGCTAAGACTGAGGGATGCAAATAGAAAAAGATGGTCCCTGGTCTCAAGCAGTTCATGCTCTAATTAGGGGAAAAATAAGGGTTGTGGAGGAGATTCAGAGAATTCTGCATCACATAAGCTTGAAACATCACAGTCACCCCAGATCTTCCCTTTCCCTCACCTGTACAACATCCCTTGGCTCTATGCCCCCCTTGTCTCCACCCCCACAGCCACAGTGCAAGCTCTAAGTCTTATCCCTTCTCAGCTGGACCATTGCCCTCCCTTCCACACTGACTTCCCTGCCTTCAGCGTCTCCCCTTGCCAATTCCCCATTCTCACAGCAGGCCAAATAATCCACCTAAGCCACAAGTCTGACCATGGCCAGCACTTAGCACATGCCTGGCACATAGTGGGTGCTTAATTAATGTTGATTGATGTTTTTAGCCTGTCCTTCAAGGCTGTCCTCGATCTAATTGATAATAACAATACCAACAACAATAGCTAGCATGTGTATGGAGCTTACTGTATCAGTCAATGTGCTAAGTGCTTTACAATCATTATCTTGTTTGATCCTCACAACAACCCTGGAGGGTAGGTTCATGCAATCTACATTCTAGTCAAACTCATTATCCATGCCCCAGCCTTCCCCTTGATCCTATCCTTGACTCTTTGCATTCCTTCTGGTCATCTTTCCTCCCCCACTCCATTTCCAAGCCTGGAATGTGCTCCCTCCCTTCTCATCTCCTCTCTGAATTATTTTCTTCCTTTGAGTTTCACTTCAGGCCCCCTTCTCCAGGAAGCCTTCTTTGATTACAACTGCTGAAAGGGTTTTCTCCATCCAGAGATTTTCCTCAAGCACTCTTTCTGGCTCTTTCTTTTGTCTTCATTACTTACTTCCTGGTCTCATCCTTATTTGTATATGTGTCCTCCAGCTAAGTACATCCCCAATCTTCATCCTGGCCCAGAGATGGCCCAGGTGGTCCAGCAGAGCACACTTCTGGTAGGGCCCTCTCTCAGCTGGAAAGATTTCAATAACGGTTCTGATAACAGGCTGCATGTGTCCACGGGGTCCAGCTAGTGACCCGAGAGGACAGTCTACTAAGTTATTGGAGGGGGTGGGATCTTCCTCACAGCGTGAAGGGTAAAATTAAACTGGTGAAATTAAAGATCCACGACATTAAAGTCAGTGCATGTATCCTGTCACCAGTAGACCATAAGCTCAGTGGGGGCAAGAATAGCGTTGTTTTTTATCTTTGTATTCTAAGTGCCCACCACAGAGGTTGCACGTAGAGAGCAGATAATAGCTTAATTGAGGGGTTGGGAGATGTAGGAATCAATGAAGGATGTGATTGTCACAGAACAGCAGAAAGCTAGTGATTTAAAAGATGCTGTAAGGTATTTTACATTCCTGTTGGATAGTTGTCTGGGACCAAGAGCTGAGTCTACACAAAGAGAAAAACAGTTAAAAAAAAAAAAGACAATCTTAGCCTTCTCCCATCTTTTGTTAACTTCCTGGCTAGAGACAGATATGCACTGAACCAATGCCAGCCTGCTCTTGTCAGGGAGAGGCTTGCTAGCCACTGCCTTTCGGTAGATATGAGCAGCAGGTAGCCCTGAAAAGCTGAAGCCTAGGAGCTAGCAGGAAGTAGCTCTGAAACTGGGATTAGAGAAGACACTCGGGGAAACAAGATGACAGAGTGATAGACTTAATTCCCAGTAGGGAGGAGCTCATTGACATCACCAGAGGACATCAGCGGCCCTGCAACACTAAAGATGTTACCTAGCTGTGTGACCCTGGGCAAGTCACTTAACCCCAATTGCCCCCCCCAAAAAGATATTACTTTGTGCCCTCCACAAGTGGTCCCTGGTCACATGGTTTGCTGATGTGTTCCCCTTCACTCCTGCTTCTATGTCTGCCCCATGAGTGTTCCTCCAATGTGTTTCCTGGTCACCTATGTCCTCTGCATGTGTGGTCTTCTCCACTAACCTGTGGGAGGCTGTGCCATTTGTGTACTGGGGACCTTTTCTTGTTTTTCTGTTCTGTTTTGCTATGCTTTTTGAGCCAATGGCTCATGTGCTGAACTGTGTCCTCCAGTTACTAATAAAAGTTAACACACTGGTGTGGGCTCATGAGATAGGACGTTGAGCAAGTCTGGACTCACTTAATGCCTTGAACCTGCATGCAGTAACTTTTCTAGGGGCTTCCATAAAGGGGATCCTAGGGGACAGATGTATGAACAAAAAAAAGTCAAAAACAGTGCTTATATAAGCCAGAGTATTTTAGGGAACTCCCATCAAGGGAGATTTCCAGAGACAAACTTGGGAAATGGACTTCAAAGAGGTTTGAAATCATGCTGATACAAAGGGATTTAATGTGAGAGCCCTGTGTGTCTGGCTTGATTCAGCCGCGGGGCTTCATGGTGAATGACCAACAGAATTTGCAGAATCTCTGTTCATCTTTTGGTTCTAATTTTCTTCAAAGCCTGCTCATGAGCTTGTGAACAACAATCACTTTTTATAATAGAGCCATCCTCTTCCCAGAGCTGGGAAGATACTCCAACCTGCTGCAGGCAGCTTGTGGAGATGTGACGGAGATATGAAATGATGAGAGGTAGAAGGTGGGAAGTGGGAGGAGGACCTGGGTTAGGAGCCATTCCCTGCCCCCCAGAGAATGATAAATCTTCCAATGCCACCAACTTCTCCATCCTTTAGAACAGAGCAGCCTGTCTTTGCAGAAGGAACAGTGGGAGAAGACTCCTGAGCTTCTGTGGCCTGGATGGGCGAGCCAGCCACTGAGTAGGTGGAGGTGTTCAGCCACACAGGGACTCCCTAGAAAGCCCTCCTCTCCCTTACAGGTGCACCTTGTTTTACCAAGCATATTTCTACATGTTAATCAAATCCCTTTAACTGCCCTGGGGAAACTAAGTATTTATTGGAGCCCTATGCCAAAAGCAAAGAATTCTTTGTTAAATTGAATCATTATCCCTGGGTACATCTGTTCTTAAATCTGGCCATTTGTGGTAGTGTGGCTGAGAGTTCTGGGCTGGGAGTTCAGGGTTCAAATCTAACCTCAGAAACATATTTGCTGTGTGATCACCAATAAGTCATTTAGCTTTTCTGAGCCTGTTTCCTTATCTGCAAAATGGGAACATGATATCTGTAGTACCAATCTCTCCTCTGCCTAGCGGTGGTGTGAGGCCCCAATGTATGTAAAGTCCTTCACAAACCTAAAAGATGTGTAAATGTCCATTTTTATAACAAGTGCTTACTAATGCTTTCAGGCTTCCAAAACATTTTGCATATATTATCTCAGGTTCTCCCCTCACAATCACCCTATCAGGAAGGTGCTCTTATCACCTTTATCTTCCGGAAGAGGAAACTGAGTTTTGAGAGGTTAAATGACTTGCCCAGAGCCACACAGCCTAGAGACACTAAGTATGTAAGGCAGGATTTGAATCCAGGACCGTGTTGACCCTAAGTCAGGCTAGCTGCAATCATCATCAGCCTTCTTAAATGCTATCTGACAAAGCTTCCATTTAGGCTGACTTTGGAGCTATTAATAACTAGCTATATTCTCTGTATCAATAAACAAAAGGAAGTGGGGTACATCCTCCTCAAAGCCCAACACCCAAGTCTGCTCCACAAGGGACAGTCCTTCCTCGGACCCGAGGCTGACCCTAAGAGAGCAGACAGACCACTCCTCCACCTCCAGTCATCATCTAATGTGTAACTGAATTGGGCCCTCCTCGCTGGGAAGGATCTCCCTGTACTGGCATTCGGCTGAGCCCATGGCGCCTCCACAATATCATAGGATGTCAGCGCGTGACGTTAGTGGAACTACCTGGGATATAAATCCTGGCCTCATCAATCCTCTGCTCAAAAAGCCTCAGTGTGGTCCAGCCTTTAAATCTGTCCTTGACTCAGGAGTTTGAAGTCAAACCTGGATTCAAGCCTTGCCTCTAAAACTCCCTGAGAGACTACGGCCAAATCGCTTGATCTCCCTCAGCCTCGGTTACCTCATTTGTCAAATGATGGGTTAGGAGTCAATGGCCTCTGAGCTCCCTTCCAGCCCTGGAGTTGGGTCCTACGTCTTAGTACAATCTTTTCTATTTCATCATCCTGGTAGAGGCAGCTCAGAGTCAGGAAGACCTGGGCTTAAATCCCACCTCTGACACTAGCTGTGTGACCATGGACAATTCACTTCCCCTCTAAGCCTCAGTTTCCTTCTCTGCAAAATGGGGATAATAACATTTGTCATACAGAGCTCGATGAGCTGTCAATCAATCAATTTGTTAATTGGCTTTTTTGATTTATTAAGGGCCTACTATGTGCCAAGCACTGTGCTAAGTGCTTTAAATGTTTAAATGTCTCCTTTGAGCCTCACAACAGCCATGAGAGATAGATACTATTATTGTCCCCATTTTATAGATGAGGAAACTGAGGCAGACCATGGTGAAGGGACTTGCTCAGGGTCATACAGCTAAACAAGTATCTGGCTAGGTCTTCCTAACTCCAAGTCCAGTGCTCTATCCACTGTGCCACCTTCCTACCTAAAGCTTTGGAAATCTGCTAGTGCCTCACAGGTGGTCAGTGAATGATTTCAACTGTATGAATTAAAAGAATGAATGAATGAATGAATGAATGAATGAATGAAGAAATGAATAATGTTCTCTAGAGATGATGCCAGCTAGTAGTCATAGTTCTGCCCGGTTTCCCCCCTGCTCTCTTACCATCAGCACCAGCTTCCTTCTTCTCAAAGGCTAAACACAAATGATCCATCACAGTGCTGTCACCAGAGCCCTCGATCCGGACCTCTTCATCCAGGACCCAGAGAAGGCCTTTGGGTTCCTCCGCTTGGCCCGCAATTGGAACGCGCACCTGGGAAGGAGACACCACCACTCAACCATACTGAGAGGGCATGGGGATCAGGCTGCTCCCCATGGATTGGGTCTAATTCTTCCTCCATCCTAGCAGGGGAAGAGCAGGTGTTGATTTGGACTCCTGAGCACCAGGGATAAGAGTTTACAGTCTCCAATTTATGTCCCATGCTTTCTTTCCAAAATCATTTATGGATTCATCACAGGAGGACAGCCTTTTGCAATGTTCAGAGCTCCAGATTACGGGGACAATTCTCATAGCTAAATTTTCCCCAAGGACACTCAATTTCCTTAAAGCTTAAGTCACTAAGAGGATGAACCTTGAGATGTGAGGCTTTGCAATGATCTTCCCAGGTTTCAAAATATAAGGTCAACTGAGGTCAGTAGAAAGTTGTAAATCCGGAGACAGTGACCAGCCCACAGGCATGACTGTGATTGCCAAAAGGATAGTTTTTTTTTAATTATCCAAGCTTTTTAAAATATCACGTTCATTTCCAAATATACTCCCACCCATGTCTCATTCTGGGAACCATCTCTTATAACAAAGAATTAAAAAGAAAGAGGGAGGAAAAAAGCAGTTTAGCAAAAACTAATCAACACAGCAACTGAGTCTGAAAATCTATGCAATACCAAAGGGTGTTTGAAAGTTAGCAGCATCCCCAACAGGATTCTGTTTCCCATCTTTCACTTGGCTTCCTCACCAGACTCAGTCTGGACAAAATCTCAAGTCACTCTCCCAAGACAAATGAATGGAATCTGACCCAATGGCCCAGGTAACAGATGTAGTCAAAGGTCTTGAGATTTAGAGCGGGAAGGAAGCTTTGCGGTCACCTAGTCAATTTTACGGATAAGGAAACTGAAACCCATAGAGTCTGTGACTTGCCCAAGGTCACATGGGTCAAGTCAGAGCTAACATATGGTCCCATTTCCTCTGATCTCAGACTCCTCATGATGCCTCATGACACTCTTTTCACAGGAGCCCCACGTTCTTTTCTTCAAGTAAAATAGCGTCTCCTCTGAGAGGAAATTTTATTTCAAAGCAGTGGAAAAGTCATGGTTCACAGAACTGAAATTCAAGGCACAGCAAAGATCAGGCAGCACAAGAAAGGGGAGAATGAATTACGTTAGCAGAGTTTCAGCAAACTGAAAGAGAGTTGGAGAAGAGCAATGAAAATGTCAAGTAGGAGAAAGAGATCGATGGACAGCGGAAGACTTTAACTTGGCAGCTTAGCCAACCATTGCCTAAAGTAAACCTAAAAACCATCTCCAGGAGACCCAGGGTTCTTCTAGGGTGCCCTGGCAAGGAGGGAGAGGGGAAAGGGGAATTTCTGTATCAGATACTGGCTGAATGAATGGGAAAAAATGAATGAATGAGAAAGAATTCATTAAGTGCTTAGTACACCCCAAGCATTGGGGGTATATATGGAGGAGCAAGAAGATTCTTGCAAGATTTTTGGCTGGGGAGGATATGTGCCCATTGGGCAAAGGGAGGCAGAAAGAAATGCCACCTAACACGTCAGGCAAGATCAAGAGCCAACCTCCTAGACCACAAGATGGAAAGAAAGCACCTTCTGATGCTTTGGTTTGATCGTCCCACCCCGGGAGGAGAGGTATCCCATTCCGAGAGAGATAATATTTATACACCATGCACATGTGCGACAGTGGGGAAATGGCACCAGGACTGTTTTAATGAATACCTGTAACCAGGCCCACCCACTCAATTGCATCATTTATCACAACCATAACCGATGCAGAAAAACCGATAAATAGCCACTACAAGAATTGGGACCCATGATGCTCAACCTTCTCACCTGGGAGAGATTCTGGTCGATGATTGCCACTGTGGTCCTTGGGGAGAGCTCTGGGAGATCAAAGGGAACCACCACCTTTTCCTAGAAAACAGTATTTAAAAGTTGACTGCCTCGCAAAACCTCTGAACATCTAATAAGAGGATGCAATAACTTCTGAAGGACATCAAACGCATGGTTTTCTTTGTCTTGTTGGCTTTTGTGTCAATAGAGGTGGAGATCAAAGCTCCACCATAAGACATTTCTGAATGAGCCCCATCCAAGCCCACCAACATTAGGAGCCCCAAATGGCTACCCAGGCCTATTGAAAACTTCCTCCCACACCCACACCTGCCTTCCATCTTTGCTAGCCCAGCTCAATCATCACCTCCCTCTGAGGCCACCCATCCCAGATGAAATTAAGCTTTTCCTTCTCGGATCTCATATAGCTTCCTTTGTACCTTTCCTGGGTCATTGCAGTGGGGTCTGTTGTTTGTTTCATCATTGTTGGTATAAGTGCCACCTTCCATCCCAATTTGCTCTACGTGACAATGTAAGCTTAATAACACTAGTAATAATTTGGGGAGAGGCAACATGGAGAGCCTGGTGTTGACCCTGGTTAGGGTGTTGACCTTGAAGTCAGGAAGTTCTTGTTCAGTTGTATCCGACTCTTTGTGACCTCCATTTGGGGTTTTCTTGACAAAGATACTGGAGTGGTTTGCATTTCCTTTTCCAGTTCATTTTACAGATGAGGAAACTGAGGCAAACTGGGTGAAGTGACTTACCCAGGGTCACACAGCTAATATCTGAGACCAGATTTGAACTCATGAAGGTGAGTCTTCCTGATTCCAAGCCCAGTACTCTATACACTATGGCGTCCCCCTAGCAGCCCTAACTCCCACATATGAAGGAAGGGCTTTATGCATTCCTGCTACAAAATTCCATTTAAAGGCATGGGCCAAGGAGATATTATAGCAGTTAGGTGCCATTCCAGGTGCCCTGGGCAGATCCTTCCCTTTCTAGGAAGCTTCCCTGATCCCCACCCCTAGACCCAGTTGTTGGAACTCTGCCTTCTCCAAAACCTTTCATTTTCTTACCTGCATACATGCTCTATCTTCCCGATAGGATGTAAGCCCTTTGAGGTCAGGGGCTATTTTTAGCTCTGTCTTTGTGTCTGCAGGGCCTAGAGTAGTACCTGGCTCAGAGTAAGTGCTTAAGAAATGCTTAATGGATGTGTTCCTAAGTCCCAAAGAGTCATCACAGCCCCTGCCTACACTCTCCTCCATCCTTCCGGAAGCCTAAGGCAAGCTGGGTAGCCCCCAAGGTCCCAGGCTTACTAACCAATTCCACCATACTTAGTTTTGTTGGCCTCACCGGCCCTCACTTATAAATACCTAAACCAACCTCGGGCAATTATTTCTTATAGACAGCACCCTTACTGAACTTGACTTACACCTAAAAAGGATTGTAATGTGTTTGAAAACTATCTTTGTCCTCTGGCAAGTAAGCACTGACTTTGTACCCCAAAGGTGCAGGGGGTTCCTAGGGGATCTGATGAAGGCAATGGGGAGTCAAGTGGCTTTTTGCTTGAACACCTACAAAATCTCCATTGAGATCAATTAAGGCAGGTGGCCCACTTGGGAAGCTGGCCAAAGATCCCAGCCCTCCCAGGGCTCTAAAAAGGTGCTCCCTCGGTCCTGGCACCTGCCTTTTCAGGGATCCCATGCCTTGTGGGGGCATTACCAGGCAGACTGGCTGCCTGCCCACAGCTCCCCCTTGCAAGGCTGGAAGGACTCAAGGAGACAGAGCAGGTGCCCATGACACAAATTTGGATTCAGAAAGAGTCTTCCTGTTCAGAGGCTAACCAAGGGGAAAAAACCCACACAGCACTAAATAAACCGCTACCTAACCGGCCGTGCTGCCATCCTCAATGCCTCAAACCATGGGCACGTCTCTTTTTCCTCTGCTTTCTTAAATCAGGAATTAACTTAACCCAAGGTCTCTGCACTCCCCAACCTGGGCCATGCCAAAGCCCAGGGTTCTGGTATCGATTTAAGGAACACATCCCTTGGCTGGCTGAATATATAGGGTAGAACCATATTGTGGAAAGTCTTAAAGTGGGGCAGAATACTCTGCAAGACAGAGTTGATATATAGTAAGTTGGCTTTGCTCAACTATTTTTTTTTGTAGTTACAAATAACAATTCACTGTTGGAAAATGGAAGTCAGGTACATCTAGAGATAATTGTGATATAAAGACAAATGGCATCCCCTAATTTTTTTTAATTGGATAAAGTAAGAAAAGAGTTTGATGCCATAAATAATTGGGAGCTATCATATGTTCTTGAACAAGGGAGTAGCGCTCAGCATTCATTCAACAAACTGCTTGGCACCTACTATACGCCAGCTTCTTGGAATACAGGGGGAAAAAGGAATGATCCCTTGTCCTCAAGGAGTGTACATTCTTTTGGAAATGGAATTTAAGAAGAATTTGATGCCAGTGACAAGCTTCCCACTCTTTCTCCTGGCTCATCCTTTCAGAAGGGCATATTTAAAGACCCTCCATGTCCTCCAGGGGTCAGTGGCTGAGGGACTGCCCAGGACCTCACCTCCCTATACCGCTCCAGCTGTGACTCAAACTTCTTCTGGAAGAACAAGGTCTGCAGCCGTTCATGGACATAATTGTGGCAAAGTTCCTCGAAAGTGGCCGCCCGCTCCTTCTTCTGGTGCCGGGGGTTGTGGAAGCCTGGGCTGTCCACCACCATGATGGAGAACATGGAGAGATGGCTGGAGGCTAAGGACCTAGGGGAAGAAGAGGGAGAGAAGTGTTAGCAGGAACATGGCGGCAGCCATGGCCTCCACCATCGCTCTGGCAGAGGGAGCTTCCCCAGGGCCTTAGGACTGGTCTCTCCCAGGTTCTTTCTGGTCCTCTTTGGCTTCTGCCAGGACTGTGCTGGGAAGCTCCTAGGTAAGGGATGGGGTCAGTTCTGAGAATGCCGGGTGGCTGGGAGGCTTTAGCCCTCTCTGCTACAAGGTTGACCCTTGTGAGGCAATAACCAGCCTCAGCCATCAGTGGCCCTGGCTACGCTCATCCCAATTCTTCTCCCCTTGGTACTCAGATCTGAGAGGAGGAGAGGATGAGCTCAGCTAGCCCCTTGTGGGGGCACACTCCACAACCAGAGCTCTCCAAACTGCTTTGGGCATGATGACTCAAGAGTAAGGGCACAGGGAGCAGGATATTCATTTTACAGGACAGCAAAATAAAGTCAGAACTAGCAGACATTTGGAGAGCCGCTTAAGTCTGGCAAACCGTTTACAGATGTTATCTTGTTTGAGCCTTAAGACAGCCCTGCAAGGTAGGTACCAAAGATCTGGAAGGTAGGGAGAGACACAGCACCTGTGATTTCATTGGCATAGGGCAACTGAAGCGGCAGGGAGACACAGCAGTTAGAGAGCTGGACTTGGAGATGGGAAGACCTGAGTTCAAGTCCAGCCCCAGACACTCATGAGCTGTGTGACTCTGGGAAGGTCACGTTACCTCTATTCGCCTCAGTTTCCTCATCTATAAAATGGGGATAATAGCACCTGCCTCCCACGATTGTGGTGAGGATAAAATGAGATAAAATACACTTAGAGCCTTCAAAACCTTCAAGAGCTATAGAAATGTTATTTACGATTATTGCTGCTGGGGTTTACCAGAGTCTGCACTAAGAGGTCACAGAATAGATACCAAAGGTGGGACTCAAACCCAGAGCTTCCTAGTTCCAAGATGGTTCTCTGGTCACATCATCTTTGCAACAGATTACTATGGCATGAGCCCATTTCACAGATGAGGAAACAAAGGCTCAGGGAAAGGAAGAAGTATGTCCATTGTCACACAGTGAGGCAGTCCAAATCCAATATTCTCCTCTGCCTCCCACAGGGAGCCTATCAATAAACATGTCCTGTATGTCCTCTCCCCTCTCCGGGCCTCAGTTTCGTCCTCTGGAAATGAGCAGGTTGGACTAGATGACCTCTAGGGTTCCTTCTCTGTAATGATCTGCTCCTAGGCTCTTTGCTAGGGGTCTCTCCAGAGACTGCTCTAGGACTGACCCCCAGGCAAAGCTATGTTGTTTATGTTCTGTCATTTTTCAGGCATTTCTGATTCTTTATGACCTCATTTGGGGTTTTCTTGGCACAGATACTGGAGTGGCTTGCCATTTCCTTCTCCAGTTGACTTTACAGATGAGGAAACCGAGGCAAACAGGATTAAGTGGCTTGCCCAGGGTCACACAGCTATTAAGTGTCTCAGGCTGGATTTGAACTCAGGAAGATGAGTCTTCCTGATGCCAGGCCTAGCGTTCTGTGCACTATGGTGCCACCTAGCAGCCCAGGCAAGACTATATCATGGGCCAAGTTTTCAGTGGCCTGGGCAGTGCCAATGTACAAAGACAGCCAGCGTCCTCAGGCTCTCCCCTGCTGACCTGGACCCAGCCAAGCAAGCCTGCCCTTCTAGAAAACAACTCATGTTTCTTTTCTCCTCCCATCCCCATGACTCATCCATCCTGCCCTCCGCTTCCTCAGGCCTTTGTTCGAGACTAATCAACCAACTTTTTAGTCATCTTAATTGGTGACTTCATAGACCACCAGGGTTGGGATTCCTCACTAGAGATACAAACACAGCAGGGAAGCGGCCTGCATTCTAGTGGATAACAATAATTATAATAATCAACAAACACTGATAGGTCTAGCAATCAAAAGACATGGGTTCAAATAACTGACATTTATGAGGTCCTTGTATGTTGCAGTGATTACCTCACGGAGACCCTAGGAGGTGGATTGGACAAGCCTCCTTCTCCTCATTTTACAGATGTGAAAATGGAGCTGCACAGCTATAGAATGTCTGAGGCAGAATTAGAGCCCAGATCTCCTGCTCAAAGGCAGAGCCCCCTGTCTACTGCATCACACTGGCTCTTTGAGGCTGCTTGGAGACAGTGGCCTAAAGCAGATGAGTGGTATAGTGGTATTCCATTGGGGGAATTCCAGGTACCAGGGCAAGCCAGTAAGGAAAATATTTTGAGGGGGGCAGGCCTACTATCACCCCTCAAATCCTAACTGCCATTTCTAGGTACAACATGGGCCAGTTGAGACACCCAGGCTTCTCCTCTGGTTTCTTGGCTCAAGGCTAAGCTTACCCCATTTAAAGGTGTGTTTCTCTCCACTATGATGAAGTCCACCCTCCAAACCAAGCCAGTGCAGCTCTAGGCCCTGAGAGCAAACTTGACCTCATCTGCCCATTTCTGAATTTCTAAATATTTCATCAGTTTGTCAGGACAAGGAGGTCACAGTACTTGGGCTCAGGTAGCAACAAGCTGCATCTCCCAGTGTGAGCTCCTGGACACCAGGGATTCTAGCACAGGAGACCTCAGTTCAAATCCTGGTTCTACTATGTTCAATGTGCATGACCTTGGAAAAGTTATTGCTTTCTGTGCCTTAGTTTCCTCCCTTAAAAATGAGGGAATTGGGTGAATGAACTCTAAGGACACAGGCTCTGTTGCATGTCAAAGAGGAGGGAAACTGAGGCCCAGAGAAGGGAATTGACCTGCCCAAGATCACCTAGCTAGTAAGTAGCAGAGCTGAGATAGGTGGGTCCTGCTTTCAAAACCAGTGTTCTTACTAGCCCACGTTGGCCCAGCTTACTAAATGAATGAATGAACAGAAAAACGAGCACGTGAACAACTGAATCTCTGTTGTCCTAAAGGACAATCACCAGTCCCAGGGTAGACAGCAAAGCCCTTGGAGGCTGATTCTGCTGATGCGTCTTTGCAGCCTCTGACAAATGCTGTGATTTGGAAGTTGTGCTCCACACTCCTGGTGATTTACCTCCAATGATTTCCCGGCAGCTCGACAAAAGCAGCAGCATCTCCACCGCTTTGTTGAAACCTATGTTTTCTGGCCTGACGTGCTAGATCACTGTCAGAATTACTTAAAAGGCTAGAATGGGCCAGCACCAAGGACATTGCCAAAATAAAGGCATCCTTCTAGCCTGGTCCTGCAGCCTCCACCCTTGGGAACTTGGATGTAAGAACAGGCCACTTTCCTTTAAGAGAAAGTCATGGCTGAGTGGTCTGTAATAGGCCCTGGGGCACGCCAGGACAGAGGAGAGGAAAGAACACAGCCAAGAAAGCTGGGCTGTGACCCCTGGCTCTATCTGGGATGAGCTGTGTGACCTTGGGGAAAATCATTTCTCTTCGGGCCACAATTTTCTTATCTCTTAAATGGGCATTTTAACACTTGTCCTACCTCCCTGTGGAAACTTGTATTAAATTAGAAGTGAGCAATAGCTCCAGAGGCCAGTGGAGAGAGGGGTACGTGGATCATAGCCCTTTTACCAACCACCAGCTACCGTGGTATGTGTTTGGGTTTCTTTAGGGGGGGCAGAGAGAGAAAGGGAGAGACAGAGATAGAGAGAGAGAGAGAGAAAGAGGGGGGAGGGGAGAGAGGGAGAGAGTGAAATTGAGATATAGGTAATAGAAAGAAAGAGGAGAAAGAATGGTCAGGTGGTAAGAGGAGATGGGGGCAACAAATGGCCAGGCCATGGTACCCATAAGATACTCAAAAGGCCCCAGAGAGGGCATTTGGACCATTGGACGGATTGTCTAGTGAGCGGGTGTGGGAGGACACAGATAAGAATGAATCACACACGATGAGGCGGAGTAGATCGCTGGCGTCTGCATGGGCAGAGGGATGACCCCCACCAGTGAGCTCCCAGAGCATCCAGAGTAGAAAGCGCCATGGAGATGAAAGGTGGAATGCAGGGGAGAGGCATTGTTACAACAACTATCACTATGCAGGAGCTTTGGAGGGCATCCAAGCCCTCCCTTTAATATGGTCTAACGGGTCTCCTGTTTTCAGCCTCTTTTCTCTCTAGCGTGTGCCAAAGAGTAGCTAAATTGATAGACTCAGAACCAAAATCTACGTCTCCCCTCCTATTCAAATATCTCCAGTGGCTCCCCGTTACCTCTACAGTACAATGCAAAGTCCTCACCCCGACACTTAAGGCCCTTCACAGTCTTACCATAAGCCATGTTTGCAGGCTTATTTCGTATTACTCCCTTTCCTTACTAACACTCCAGGCAAACAGGTCTGCTGGCTGTACCCCGCTCCCCAAAAAAGTAAACTCCTGGAGAGCAGGGATTGTTTCATTTTTGTCCTTGTATCCCTACCACCCGGCACAGTGCCTGGCATACAGTAGGTGCCTAATAGATGGTGGATTGATTGCCCATGAATGATGCACATTCCCCATCTCACACTTTCGCACAAACTCCCTCGTGCTTGGGACTCTCTTGCATTTCTTCACTTTCCTCACTTTCTTCAGCTCCCCTCAAGCATCACCTTGAGTCACAGAGTTCTGGATGCCTCCAGCAGAGGTAGAGAGAGAGGGAGGAGTCAGCATCCAGCTGACATGGTATCCATCTGCTGGTGGGAGATGGGTAATGGGGCCGTGGGGACTGGGTTGGGGAAGGGAAAGGAAGCAAGTTACTTCCCACAGCATAGATCACAATACAACAAGGACCATGGGACTACTGCCCATGTCTTCCCACAGGCACAACAGAGGAAGTCCACCCACCATGCTGAAGGCCTCCCTTGTTTTCTTTGGACTTGACAAAGGTTCCAGTGGAGCTCCCTAGCTGCCCACCTGTCCTCCCTGGCCTGAAGCAGCCCATTTGGTCCCCCAGTCACACAGTCATCCAGTGACATCTTCTGGTCCTGTTCTTCTTTGCATAGGGTCAGGGGCTTTGGATTGGACCTAGCATTTCACCGGCATAGAGAACTCCCAGGGGAGGAAAGACTCTCCACCAATGCAGGTCGGCACCTACTCAGTAGCTTCTATTGTTAAGGAAAAAGTGCCAAGAGCCCTCAAAGATGTGACTTACTCAGGGTCACACAGCCTGTCTGGATCAGATGTGGGACTCAAACCCAGG